GCTAGAAGAAGGGAGTACTCAAGGCACCGACCCCCCTCCACACGACCCTGACTGCCTAGGCCTGATCCATCGGCCTGTCACCCCTCCCCACTTCCTGTGTATTCTGTGTGCATTTATTCTAGGGGAAGTGGCGGTGGGCCGCAGCCACCGCCATGTGCAGCTGGCAGCCTAGGATGTGTGTTGGGTTGGCGTATGGATTTTTTTCTCTTAGCTATGGCAGGCATTCCCGCTGTGCAGGAGCTCGCCTATTTGCTTTCCTTCCTCCCCTCATGGGTGCGGAGTTAGGGCATTAGCATGGCAGCCACAGTTTTTGTTTTGTTTTGTTTTGTTTGTAAGCGCTTTTGCCTAGCAGCTGATTTAAAGTTACTTTAGACTGAGAGGCCTGGCAAACTAGTTGGAATAACATAAGTCATAAGGTACCATGCTGTAAGTTTTTCATGGGAGGTCAGGTCTCAGTAAGCCCAGGGAGGGGAAGGCAGACAGAGACAATGGACATGTGTTGAGACCATGGAGGAAGCAGAAAAGGTGTCCTGACCTCTTAGGTAAGGGAGGGGAAGGCAGAGCTGGAGGCATGACACATGCCTGAGGGATTAGCCATCATCTGTGCTTCTAGGTCGCTCCCATTGACTGGTACTGAAACACTTTCAGCAAAATAAAACCTCCACTGTCCGGTCACTGTCTCAGGAAAAAGGGGCATTAGACAGGGGGGAAGAGAAGCAGTCATCAGATGCCATAATCAAACAGGACTCCCTCAACATAGCATGAGACATACCTGAATAAACCCCAGGCTTGGTCTCAGCCCACAGGGAGGAAGCATGAACTCTTCCAGAGCTGGAATCGCCTTGAGGCCAGAGTTGGCAAGGAGTGGCTTGACACCATGATGGCAAAGTCCCTCTGGGAGATAGGAAGAAACAGGCAGGGAGAGCAGCACAAGATGTCTGTTTACATGGGGAAGGAGGAGGTTTGGGAGAGGATTTGGTTAATTTAGAAGCTGGTTTACTGAACTGCCCTTGAACTGCAATCCTCCTGATCTTTGCCTCTCTAGTACCTAGGATTACTGGCTTGAGACACTGCACCCAGGCTATCTTTACTTAATGTGTTTTCTACGTATAGGAAAAATAACTAAATAAAAAGGATTTTCAGAGAAAGCTAATTATCAAAAGATGGTATTCTTACAGACTATAGTATTAGAAATGCATATTATTTTGAGACTTCAGTAAACATTTTGACAGATTATTGTAATGCTGATCTGAAAAGACTGAGCAATGAGCATACACATGGTAATCATTGTGTATAAGAACATAGATGAAAATTAGAGACTTCCATTTATTATTTTATCTTATTATTTTGGATAATAGGAAACACTATTAATATATATTTAAATAGATTTCTGTTTGTGAAAAGATCAGTAGAATAGGTTCTGTATAATGTGTTGGAGTATTGTTTTTAACCTTTAATAATTCTGAAGTCAACTAAATGATATTATTAAATTAGACTACAACATTAAAAAAAGTAGAAGCTGGTTTTGAGGCTAATAGAACCTGCGCAGGGGAACAGGAAGTACAGAGGGAGGGTTTGGTGTGGAGATAGGAAAAGGATTGGGTGTAGGGAAGTTCCTTCCATTTACCAGCATGCCCACAAAAATTTCAATCCCTTAAAATATTGGGATTGAAAGTGCCATTAAGTGGCCATTTGGAGGCATTGTCTAATGGGTATTGGGGCCAGGCTTGATTACAGAGAAAAATGAGCTTTTGTGGCTTAAGATCAGACGTTAGGCAGGGGGGCCCAAGGTTGGCCAGGAGAGAGCCCAGTGGGGAGTCTGAAGGAGTTTGGGACGTCCAACTCCCATGGTGAGGCCTGACCTGAGGAGAGATATGGCGGGTGTCCCTGAAATATCAGGTTCTCAGGAGAGAGAGATGTGGAACATAACACCCAGAGGAAACGTCTTCACCATGGGGGTCCACAGTTCCAAGTGGGGAACCTGGTTCCCAGGGACGGGAACAAGCTAAAACCTAACGCTAGGATTTCGAGGAAATGAGAGAGAGATCACAGCTCTGTGTGTGAGGACTCACCAAGAGAGGACCTTGAGGGAAGATTGGCCGGTGGTGGATGGCAATTGGAGGCACACTGGGGCAGAGGAAATTCCCTGTGAGCTGTGAGAGAGTGGCATTTTCTAGGATGAGGGGGTTCCAGCAAAGCAGCTCAGATCCTAGAGGCAGGGAATGGGAGTTGGGTTGGGAGAGGCCGGGAGAGCAAGATCAGTGCCAGGAGCACACCTGATCTGAGTCACGGCACCAAATGTTAGGAAAAATGCCACTCACAAAGAAAGCTCATGAGAAATGTCTCACATCCATAGAGCAAAGTTTAATGGCAGGCCCAAACTGCCAGGCTTGCTGGGGAAAAGATGGTGCAGCAGCGATCCTGGGCCAGCCATGGCTTTTATAGAAGGGGGAGGTTAAGGAAGTTAGTGCATGCACGGTAGTCTCTGGTAGGGGTGGGGCTGTCTTAGAGCGTGGGAATTTCTGTTACGGGCAGGGCTGTCCTTGGAAGTTTCTCAAGTGAGGTCTGAGGATAAAATGGCCACCGATTTGTAAATGGCAACATTATTGTTCTATCAGGATAGGTCATTTGTCTCCTCAGAGCCCTTCAGTGAGTCCATCTTACCTACAATGTAGAGTTCAAGCCTCTTGATATGAAAAACAAAACCTTTTATGATCTGACCTATCCTTGTCTCACCTGCTGCACCTGGGCTGCTTCTTTCCCCATCACCCAAGCAATGATATTACACCAGACTAACTTGCCTAACGTGTGATGGATTTTACTTGTTGGTATATTTGCTAATACTGTACTGTTTTCTTCCCCTTAAAACATTCTTCCATGCTTCCTTAGCCCCTGCTAAGATTCCATTTAAATTCTCCACAAATCTCGCTTTGGTAATACAGATAGAGTTTAGTGCCCTATCCTCAGGTTCCCATAATATTCTACATGTTCCTGATTATAGCATTTATCATATGGCATTAAAATTTCTCTTTCCACCTCTGCCTTCACCACTCAAATAACTAATGAACTAGGTCTTGCTCATATTTGTCTAAATCAAGTACTCAAAAATGTTTGCTTTCCACTTTTGCCAACCCTAATCCTATAGCACATTATCAAGTCCACAAAATGTATCCTTAGTAAAAATCTAATGGATATATAAATGAATGATTGATTTGGCAATTTATTGAGCAGGAATAAAGAAAGCAGAAGACAAGAAAACTAGGTTTTTCATAAGTGACTGGAAAGATGTGTTATACTAAGTGAGAGTGAAAACAAGGAGGAACTAGTTTCAGGATAAAGGTAATGCATTGCTTTAGGATAAGTTGGTCTGTTAAGCATGACAAGACATCTGTTTACAGCTTGTCATTGGATGCTTGAAGAAGTCAGCAGTGTTGGAGAGCACTGTAAACAAGAGGAATCTATTTAGAAATCACAGTTGAAGCTGCAGAGGTGTGGTAAGAAAATGCTAAGAAGGAAGAGAACTAAGACAGGGACAGACCTTCAGGAATGTATTGAAGGGGAAGGAATTAGAATTACCCATAAAAGAATCTGAATAGAAGCCTCCTAAAGCTAGATAGCAATCAGGATAATGTATTATGAAGGCCAGTGGGGGAAAGTGAAAGTTTTGAGAACAAACTCAGTTGTTGTGGAAGTGATCAATCTCCTTACAAACAAGATTTCAAAGAAGAAAAGCCTTCTGTTTTTTCAAAAATAGTTCTAGTAGGTAGTTGGTTAGAATAAATTAGTGTCTTCCAGAAGGTCAGCAGAGAAGGGGATGGGAGGAAATGGTAATGTAAGGAAGATGGTGAAATGTTTTTATTGTTTTTTAACTAAAAAGTACCTGCCTATTAGATGCAATTAAAATATTCATAAGTACATTAGTTAAAATATAAATGTCTTTCCCTCGGTCATTCTTTTTCTACTTCTCCGGTTGGCATTTATGATCCAGAATTTTAAATAAAATTGTATATAGTTGTATACTTACAAAAATTAGATTACATTTTTGCAAATTTCTTTTAATAGCATGAAGTTTCTCCACATCAGTGTAAAGAACTACCTCATTGTTTGTAATGGCTGAATGATGTTCATTATAATAAATACATACCATCAGTAGTTTGTTTATTCATTCTTCTTTTGAATTATATTTGCCTTCAGTTTTTCCCCATTACAAATAATTCTGGAGTGACTATTCTTGAACAAAAATTCTCATGTTGTTTATGTAATTCCATACAATGAATTCTTAAAAATAGAACCATTGGTGTAGAGGTACATTTTTATTTTGTGTTGACAAATCACCTACTAAAAGGCAATACCTATACTAATTAAATAAAACCATTTTTTTAAAAAAAGGCAATACCAACTAGCAGTTCCTATAACAGTATACTAAAGTGTTCTTGTCTCCACACTTCACTGATAATGAGTATCCTTATATACCTTCCTGCTAAAGAGACAAGTTTTGGGTTCTAGGTTTAGGTTTTAGTTTTGAATGGGAAGTCTGATCTATTTGTAATCCTAAGAAATAATTCAGTTGCAAATGAGGAATACAGATGTATTTTTAGGTACATTTATGATATTTTAATTTGTAATGTTCATTTTTAGTGCTTGGAAAACATTTTAGATATGCAGGTCTCATTTAAGCATACTTTTTATTTCTATAGATATTCTTAGTCATATTCTGTGGCTTTATAGGTAGTTTCATGGGTTTGTGTCTCATTTCTCCAATTCTGAGTGTATGCTTTTGAGGCTAAAGACCATATATCCTCCAAAATTATAGCAGGATACAAAATAGACCTTCAGTAAATTACTCAAATTATATCTGAATAGGGGGAAAAAAAAAACAAGGAAAAGAAAGTTCTTAACTGCCACGAATTACATTTCAACTCATGCTGACTTTAAATATCTTTGTGTAATTCATATTCCCTTCTGTACTCTCTACAGTTCATTCTTCTTTGCTCTTTCAGTTTGTTAAAGTCAAAATGTGATGGATGGCTTCCTGGAACCTCATCATCCTTTAAAAAGTACCAAGGCTCCCCAAACAGTAAAGAGAATAGGAGAGAGAAGACAGTCGGGTTTCAGTCACATGTAGATAATGCCCGGTGGACATGTCAAAAAAAAGATACATGTAAACCCCAAAAAGGTAAGTTTAGCATCTGTCCTAGCAAAATGAGAAACTGTTGGGTGAAGGTAGCTGCTAGTATCTGCTAGCCAGTACATACTAAATGATGTACCACAATGCTGAACAGGAGTTATTGCTGAAAACTGACATGTGCTTACTAGATTAAGTGAACCCCATCTGCATTTCTTATAAAAGACTGATATAAGAAACTAACCAGTGGGGCACCAGTGGTTTACACCTATAATCCTACCTATTCAGTAGGCAGGGATCAGGAGGATCTCAGTTTGAGGCCAGCCTGGGCATATAGTTCTTGAGACCCTGTCTCGAAAGTACCCAACACAAGAAAGTGCTGGTGGAATGGCTCAAATGGTTTGCACCTGCCTAGCAAGTGTGAAGCCCTGAGTACCACCCAAAAAAAAAGAAACTATCCAGCAGCTTGTCCCACTTTTTGCCGGCAGCTGTCTGTAAGAATTAAGCAGCATGTTCTTAGACACAAATTAATGTCCAAAGTGATTAAAGAGGACAAGAAGTTGAACATAAATATCTCCTGGAAAAATAATCCCTAACAACAGTAATTCATCTCTCAACTGAGTGGAAACATGGGGGAGGGTGGAGGAGAGTTCATGGAAAGCTCCACATTGGGACTATAACAAAACCCCACAGGACTAATACAAATATTGCTAGCAGTCTTTTATGTACCAGTAATGCTTCCTATTTTATATGTTGTACATTTCTAAAAGAAACCAATTATAAATTACTATGAAATGCTGAGTGAAGCAAATTTTTGTTTCCCACATATTCTTGGAGTGGCTCTTGGCATAATCTTTTCCTGGAAGTCTTAAAGGAAGGACTTTGGAAGGGGATGAGCCTCACTGTACAGAAGAGAAACAAAGGGCCAGAGAGGTCTCAGAGCCCCCTTCTGTCATACCTTGTTAAACTTCTTTTTTCCTGCTCACAACTGTTAACCCTGATTTCCTTATTTACCTCTTTTTTCTACCTCTGGTGTTAAGCAATCAACTTCTCATAATCTCTCCAACCACTCTTGTATTTGTTCATTTATTTGAGAATTGATCAATGCTTTATGAGAAAATCTTGAATGTGTACTTCTCCCTGCCTTTCCTCACCTGCTGCTAGCTTTGTTATGGTTTTTTATTTTAATTATGATTAATATAGAAATTGATAAAACCTCTCCCAGGTGATTGAAAGATAATAATGAGTCCAAACTTCAAAAGGGAGACTCCACAATTTGAAACAAAAGTAAAAGTATGTTTTCTTTGACATGCAAACCTTCTGCAGACCTCTGTTGCTTTAGGACAATGTAGAAACTTCTTTTTAGTCTTTGCTACCAAAACCAAATGAGATAGAACCTTAATTTTCTCTGGGAGTAATCTTTTGGAAATGGAAAACTCTTCCTTCAGTTTTCTGTATTTTTAGTCATTACACTTTGGAGAGTGGAGAACCGGTCAGAATTGGTCTGGTGGTTACATTGCAAGGCTTAACATAGTCTTCTGTTGACTTGTCAACAAACTCATGTTGTGTATCAGCACTAAAATAAAATGCCAAAATGAGAAAAATGTAGTGTAATAGCAAAGGGACAAATAACATGTGTTATTGGTTAAGACCATAGCAACATTAGAAAGCAGCAATTGAAAAGGCACTTTGAGAAAGGTATCATCAGGCCAGCCCTTGCAGTGGTGGAGGTTAATCTCCCTTGGGCCCAAATACAGAAGCCAGAAGCTTGGAAAGGGCTTGTGTCCAAAAAAAATCAATTTCTAATTTGAAGTAAAATCATTTTTGACTAACAGGAGTTCAGAACCCATTACTTTTTGCTGTATAGTCTGCTGACATTTCACCACTTTTTGTTGTGCACAATGAATCCTAATAGTCGTTTTATAATGTTGCTATACCAATCAATGTAACAAAGAGAAAGCTGTTACAATTCTGCAAAGTTTTCAGAAATCGTTTTCACTCATTGTTTTTTTTTTTTCAGTAGTTCCCACCACCCTTCCCCTCCCCCACCCGTTTTTTGTGAAAGGGAGGTTGTAATATTACAGTGAAAAAAATGTAGAAAACTTTTCCATCTTTTTAAAAGGTGAAAGTTATTAAGGTTTTTTTTTTTTTTTAACTCATGAAAAAGACTATCTTGTGTTTTTCTCTCCTTTTAGTTTAGTATAGAGCCTTTAGCAAAATTATGGTCTACCTGATCAATGAAGTAGCTAAAGTTGTCCCCTTGAACCATTCTGCTATTACAGAACTGGTATGTGCAGATTATAGAACAGGAGAAAAAGTTATTGCATTGGCCTTTGCTGTGGCACCCAACAAAATGGGAGACATAACTTTCCAAGGTGTGCAATAGTGTTTGGATGCTCTGTTCATTGTTAAGGCCAATGACCTAGCGCGAATTACCCAAGTTACACTGCTCAGTTTGGCACCTTAATTGCTTCCCCTTCTTGAGTGTGTATTTTTCAGTATACATTTCTTCTGTTTTATATCCTTTGTTTCTTTTGTTGTCATTTAATCATTAAGCATTATACAGGACATTTGTTGCAGGACCATTAATCTTTATTACCAGTCTCTTATTCCTTTATCTCCTAGCCTCCTCACCATTCTGCCAACTTCACTGATACTAAACATGTAAAAGAGACCGGACTAATTGACTCAGGAAACAACCTTGTGATAGAAAAACTATGTGCAGCATTGTCAGAATTAAAGCATGAGCTTGTTCATTCATCAATGCTTGGGTTGTTATATTTTAGTTGCTTTTATTGAGCTATGTGGAGTAGGAAGATACTACTTAGGAAAATGTAATCTTGGATCAAGAATTTTTAAAATACATAAATCTAGAAATACCCAGTCTTCATTCCTCTTTTCCTCTAATGCAGCAGCAAAATATTCCCTTCCAGATTGCATAGAAACCCTCCTTCCTGAGCAATTACTAATTCCCCCTTATAAAAGCCTTTGAAACTCAAGGCATTTTTTTTTCTCATTGTGCTGATGGGCTATCCAAGGCTGAAGCCATTAAGCACATATGTTCCAGAATTGAAATATTAGACCTCAGGCTTTGGCACCACCCTTTCCTAACTCAGTCTGTAAGGCCATCCCAAAGCTTCCTACTATATTTAGAGCTACCTCCTGTTTGTTTCTCTTTCATGGGTCTCTTTGAGAAAGGCTGATTTTAGTATGATTTGGATTTAGCTGATGGTTTTGAACATGCCCTTCATTTTGTCTTGGGGTAGCGGGGGGGGGGGTTCGGGGGGGTATTCGGATTATGTAATATCATATAGCAACTGGCACTGATGTTTCCTTTATCATTACCATCATCATCATTATTATTATATATTTAATCATAAGAAAAAATACCAAAAGATTTTACTTCTGATTCCTAGACATATGAGATAAAACATATGATAAACATTGATGCCTTTATCACCAGCACACAGAAGACAAGCATATGAGAGTGTTATGAATAAACCTAGACATGCAGAATCAATTTTCCTGCTCAGTTAATTAAAAAAAGAATTCAAATATAAGAGACTATTTTTAATAGTTAAAGTTGCTGTATATGGAATATTGTCACTTAAACCAGAGAATCTACATTTTTCATCCTCTACAGTGGAAAGAAATATCTCAAAATACTGTTTAATTTACCTATTATGTATGTTTTGTATCTTTGCTCACTAGAATATAAATTCTGAATTTTCATTATTGTATCTGCAACTCCCAGACTATTGCTTAACACATGGTAGGTTCTCATTATATATGTTGAAAGAATTAACATAACATTACATATATTGATTTTTCTTTCTATTCCCTTTTCCCATTATCCCAAAATAAGGATTGAATCAGTTAGATCTTTTGACCTCAGTGCCTGTAGTGATTTAGTGATTTAAGCAAAATATCTGCTTATCCCTTCAAAGTCCTTATGGTGATTGATTGCTTTGTCAAACAGAAAGCAGTAGAATGGGATCTTAAAAATAGCACTGGTTTAGGAGTCAAAAAAGCTATTGAGATTTTCCCATTTATTCTATTTGAAGTTTAATTTAGATACGATAAAATTACACAGGTCTTTGATAAACATGACAATTGTTTACACCCATGTAAACCACCAATTAAAATGTAGTACATTCCTATTATTACTGAAAGTGTCCTCATGGTCCCTACTAGTTAGTCCTGTCCTGAGACCTCTCTCCTTGGCTTTCAGATGATTATCTTCTCATTGTGATGTCATGTGGCCTTTTCTCAGTGTATGTATTCCTGGTGTCTCCCTTTTCTAAGCATACCAGTTCACTAGTCATATTTGGTTTGAGCCCACCCATGTGACCTCATTTAATCTTAATTACCTCTTTACATTCCTTACCTCCAAATATAGTCATGTACTAAGGAACATTGTCAGAATCAACCTTATCAGACTTCCAGAAGTTTGTGAAGCCAAACTTCTGTGATTTCCAGAAGCCAAACGCATGCTTTACCATAAGAAAGTACACTGAAACATGATAGGAGAACTTTGTAGGTTTTAACTTAGCCTTGCCTAGCCCCTGCCCCAACATGACAACTATCTTAAAGATGGCAGCCCAAGGTACACATGAGAGAACCTGGCCTTAGAGGAACCACAGGTCACTGTGTTCTCAAGGAATCAGGAGTCTGTTTTGACCTGCCTTTGAATTCTCCAAAGTGCTGACAAAAGGGCGTGTTTCTGTTCTGCCTAACTCTGAACTTTCTCAGGGCAGAGAAACAGCTACATATAGGACAGTCCTTGAAGACATTAAAAGCCAACTGAACACACCACGGTCACCTATAGTAAAAATAAACAAATAAATAATAGCTGAGGCAAACAATAGAAACACTTAAAGCCTAGAAGCTAGATAACGTAGATAAAATAGATAAATTTCTAGAAACACACAAACTACCAAAACTGACTCCAGCATAAGTAGAAAATCTGAATAGACCTATGAATAGTAAAGAAATCTAATTAGTAATCAACAGACAAGCCCAGCAACAGATAGCTTCATAGGGTGAATTCTAAAAAATAAAAATAAAGAAGAATTAACATAAATTCTTTGCAGACTATTCTATACAATAGAAGAGGAAAGAATACATCCTAACTCATTTTCAGAGGTCAGATACCAAAGTCAGGCAAACAGTAAATAAGAAAACTATAGATCAGCATCCCTTATAAATATGTATGAAAATATTCTCAACAAAATAATAGCAAGCTAAATGCAGCAGCACATTAAAAGGATTATACATCATGACCAAGTGGGATTTAGCTCAGGTGGTTCAACATACAAAAATCAATCAATGTAATTCACCACATTAATAGAAAGAAAGGAAAACCATATGAGCACCTCAGTTGACACAGAAACAGCATTTAACAAAACTCCGCATTCTTTCTGATAAAAACAATGAGTAAAGCAGGAATCAAAGGGAATTCCTCAACATGATAGAAGGCATATATATAAAGCCCTAAGCTAACATAATTTTAAAAGACTGAAATTTTCCCCTTAAAATTAAGAACAAGACAAGGAACTTGAACTGTGAGCCAAATCTGGCCTATTGCCTACTTTTTGTAAGAAAAGTTCCATCAGAACACAGATGTGCCTGTTAGTTTACATATCATCTATTGTCTGTTTTCATACTATAACAGCAGAGTTAATAGTTCTGGCAGTGACCATTTGACCTACAAAGTGTGATGTATTTACTATCTGACCCCTTACAGGAAACTGTTAACAGTAATAGCAAGGAAGGAGAATGGTACGGAAGATTACCCATGGAAGTCTTTTATATTACAGTCCTGAAGTGGCCTATGTAATATCCACTGTTTTTCCACCTGGCTATACCCAATTTAAAGAAAACTGGGGAATATAATCTAGTTGTGTAGCTAGGAGGAAGGAATGAGGGCATTTAGGTAAATACCTCGCAGCTTCTGTAATAGCAGCATTCATAATTACCAGAATTACTCCAAACATCCATCAAATGACAAACTGAAAAAAGTTATCAGTGCATATGATGGTATACTACATAGCAAAGAAAACAAACTGCAGCTACATAATTCATCAGTGTAGATTAACTCTACAGACATAGTGTTGAACAAAAGAAGTCTTAAAGAATATATTTAGTATATTCTAATATTTGTAAAGCTCATAAGCAACAAAACTAAATGACATTTTTACCAAATACATACCCGTTAAAACTATAGAGAACAGAATGGCAATAATTTCCAGAGTAGCATCTGGCTGCTGGAGGCAAGAAAAGGTGTGATTTGGAGATGGTTACTGGTAATGTATCTGGATGGCAGTGCTTTTTTTCTTGATCTGGGAAGGGGTTGCAGCATTTTCTCCATAATTTATTTTGTAAACTAAACTGAATATATAATTTAGCTCAGCTGCTTTTAAAATGTAAAATAAAAAAATAAAAAATTATCTGATCATGCATATAAACAAGACACGATCCCTTTATGTTCAATTTTATCTTTATATGCAAAAATGTATGAATGTATTCACATGTATATGCATACATTGATGTATATTGATGATATATAGGTGTATGTATATATATGTGATCTGATCACAGATTAAACTAAGTTGTTGCAGAATGCCAGATTGTGCACCTGTGGAACTCACCGAAGCTTTTCTTTTCTATTTTGCTTAAAGCCCTGCTGAGGGATTCTCCCCCTTCCCTGCCATTTTGCCTAGTGCCTGATGTCTGTTGTTTCTTTTACAAATCTAAAGTGCAGTATTTCTGGATTTTATCCTGTCTCTGTTAACTGTTTAATGTTATACACTCCCAAACCTTTCCATGTCACCCAAAGTTTTGTTTTAGACTCATGGAGATGCAGGAAAGTTCTGGCTGTCTCAGTGCACCATCTTCCCTCCTTTTTGGAAATTGTAAATGGAATTCTCATAGTCTTCCAAGTTAAAGACAGAGATTTTGTGTTGTTTGAAAAATAAAAATTCTTTCATTTGATACCTTTTTTTTTTTTAATTTAGCATCTGGATGAGAAAAGTAACTATCAACTAAATATTCCTGTTAGAAAGGAACAGTGGCCAAATCAGGCAGTACTTTGGGGACATAAAAAATTTGTTAGGAATCTGCTTGGGGCCCTAGAGTGAATAGCTAGCTGAGCATCTCTTTCATGTTGCAGCCCAATGTAGAGTTCTTTAAAAGAAACTTTCTAAATTTATGTCTACCTTGACAACTTCTAAAGAGGAACTTTTTAATTTGGAGGGATCAGAGGTACAAAGTGCTGAATTTTTCTATTTTGTCAAAGAAAATAATATTTTATGATGGTTAAAGGGAACAAAATAAAACAATTTACCTTTTGGACATTTCATAATGAACCCAATCAAAAATATTAGCAGAATAGAGACAATCATGCTAAAAAACAAAATCTCTAGTTAGTCTATTATTGTACAAATGATCTTTAGAAAACCAAAACAGCTCCTTGAGTTTTTTTTCCGGTCATTGTTCCATTTCAGGGGGTGGGGGGAATGGCTTGTCTCTGAAGCTTAGGGATTCCCATACTGTCAAATCTATTATTCTGAGTAGACTTTTTTCATTTCCTTGTATTGGATACCCAAATTATTTCCTTGTTTTTCATACAGGGACAATGACAGAGGTTAGAAAAGATGCATCCACCTCTCCTATGCCAACAGGAAGCCAAAAGGAACTTGGAACCACAGCCTCATCGTCATCTCAATACAACACCTCCCGGTGAGCTTTAGAGATTCTTTGATTCTCCATATGAGAGCATTTTCTGGGATGTTTTAAAATAAGAATTGGAAAAATCTTGACAATTCTGAGTGATTCTAACTCGAGAGGTTCCTATTTTGAAGCATATAGATCTGGCTACTTTGAAACGCATGGAGTTCTTTTCCTCTATACATGCACTTCCTTAATTGATCATGAAGTTGGCAAGGATTTCTGTAGAAAGCCAGTCAGAAAATCTGCTTAGCAAGTCCATCTTAATTTATCATGGAATGGTTACTCATTTGGACCATAAGTTTAAGTAACCGAATTAATTTTGAAAATTATAGTGGCTTTTGTACTAGTTAAAGCTGTATCCACATTTATTTATATCAGAGACATTAGAAGTTTCAATCATTTGATTGGCCATACCCTGATCAGGCAGGATATAAAATGTCTTACTTAAAATTTCTTATGTCTAACAAGCCAACTCCCATAGTACATATTTAAAGCTCAATATATAAACACCAATTCCAAGAGGGCTTTGGTTTATGTTTCCTTGGGGATATAATTGTTTTGAGCACTTAAATCCCTAGCATCTTGTCACAGAAACATAGATTTTGAGACTTAATTTGTAGTTAATTCAGAGCTTGAGTGGTTTGTCTAAGGTCACATAACTAATAAGAGGCAGAGCCAGCATTTAGATTCCAAAGCTGTAATCTTAAATATTGTAATAGCTAACAACGACAGCCTCCATATGGTGGTGGACACCCATAATTCAAAGAAAATTTAGTTTACCATTCTTTCTCCATTGCTCCTTTCTCTTATTTATAGTGTAGCCATGTTGGCATTTGCCAAAGACCCACAATGAGTTGTGATTCTGAATGATGGGTGTCTGACTTTAGACCATAGAACATTGTAGTTGAGAGTTTGTGCTCAGAGAGTTTCCATCTAGCTCACCTTGAATTCATTTGGAAGAGTTAAAGGTAAAGAGGGGTGATGATCTGGATTTTTCAATCTCAATGAATTTTTCTATTGTTAAAGATTAAAATGAGGTCTTTAACTCTACTTTAATATATATTTGGTGGTTGCCTTACAATTTATAGAGAACCATGAAAAAGAAAAGAATAAAATGTTTACCTATAAAGGTTTTGTAATACATTCGCAGCACAGACTTTCTGAATGAACCATATCAACTTTGTAGTTTTACAAATGCAGGTTAAAATTGCTGGGAAGAGTCATACTTCATATTTACTGATTTTTAAAAATCTGTAGCTCTTAATACTGCAGATCAGCCAAATATAAATTCTGTGAAACTTTGTAAATAATGAGCATTTGGTTAGGTAAAACAATGTGTAACACACTATATTTTATCCTTAGAAGTACACAATGGCATATTAAAGGTCTATTATACACGGTGCAGAGTTGAAAAAAGGATTCCATACTATGAAAATCAGGTACCAGAACAGCACAGTAGTTGCTTTCCAGACTTCAGAATCAGGTTTATTTGAATTATTCTTATTTCAAAATGTACAAAAGTTATTTTTATAGACTAATTTTCTCTTACATGCAAACTCTGGTTCTTCCTCCCAACAAACCTTTGAAGGTAGTGAAAAGAACATATGGAAAAATCCTTCTTTTATCTACCCAAATTCCAATGTGTTTAATACTTACAAAAGAGGACAGAGATAGTTCAGATGTTGGTGAGATACAGATTTTCCTTTGTTCTTTGAAAATACTTAGAAATACTCCATATTCTTCCATATACAGATAAAAAAAAAAAACAGACATGGCAGAGTCATCTTTCTCACTCACAGTATAGGTTGTTAATTATTCTCTCTGCTGGTATCAATATAATGTGAAATTTTCATTCCCCATTCAAGATGGAAAAAGTTGTGGCTGAAAATGTTAACATTTGCATTTTTATTTATTGATTTATTTAAAGGAAAGCCTCTCCTACAGCAATCCATCACTTGGTGACATCCCAAATATGAATAATGTATTGTAGACTTGCAATTACAATGTGTAATAAGTGCTAGAGACAGTAAAGGCATGTTAACTATGTTACATATGTAATATTTATTGACTCATAAGTTTGTTGCTTTCAAGGTTCAATAATACTGACCATAAGACATTTAGCTGGGCATCTTTGTATATAGACATATTCATCTATCTCACACTAATAAAATAAATATGTAATTTACAGCATAAGGAAATAGGGCATTACAGACTTTCTTTATAAGAGCTGTGGTGCTTCTTTATTTCCATTTTACTTCTGGCTTCTAGCACTAATTGCACACTCCTGAGCTATCAAGGATTGTAAGGACCATGGTCATCTTGACACAAGAGAGTGGTGGGACTGAGCTAAATTGTGCCATTATTTCTGCTTGGTCAGAACAGACACCACCATACAGACCACTCTTCTGGAGAGAGGACAAGAGGGCCTTTTCTCGCTATCATTCTGAACACCTGATAGGTAGGTAGCTGTGAAAGAAAGTTAAATAGATACACACACACATACATATGTCTATCTCTTCACGGCTATGGGACTAAGTCATAGGTCATCAATTCTACTTGATCCTTTGGTCACCATTGTGAAACCAGAGCTGGGCAGGTTACCCTTTGCTTTTCAAATGCATGCATTGAGAAAACAAATATTACTGATAATTAACCCTTTTGTGCCTTCCAGAATTACTTATGTCCATAGCCAACAATAAAGAATAAAGGTAATGTTAATTAGCAACCATCAGTTATAATTATCATCCCCATTAAAATGCAGAATTATGTATTTCTTCATTATAAATAACCTTTCTAATTGTACTTGATGTATGCCAATTTAATCAAAAAATATACTTGCAACAGGCAGATATTTGCATTAATATAGCTTTGGATCTTTAAGTCTTTTAATTCAAGTTGGACTGGGAAATAGGATCTTTCAGCTGTATACCTTTCTCACTGATATCTTTTCCTATTCACATATATAGATCTGATACATCTCATATTAAAATGAAGAGTATCCTCTAGGATTGTTCAGTGCAACTGATCAATCACTTTTTAAAAATACTGATCACTTTTTAAAATACTGATCAAGTTTCTGTTTCTCTGTCTTATGCCAATACAATGATGATTTTTCCAAATTGATAAACAGAGGCAAACACCATGACTTTGTGGCAGAATTAAACTCTCAGTGTCTGAATTGAAAGACCTCTTCCCTCTGCATGACTCATAGAAAGAATTATAGCTGGTATGCTTGCACCACACCACCGCAACACTTTTTCTGTAAGATGTGGAGAAAGCAAAACTCTCCAAATCATGCCTAAATAATGAATTTTTGGAATTGAATCTGCGCTTTGCCTATATCTAGGAAGCATCATTTGCCTCTTAACCATAACACAAAAGGTTTTCCTTTTGCTTTTCTTGTTGAGTTATTGGGAAAGAGGGGATAGATTTTGTGAGGCTTCTTTTTTGGTTTTTCATTATTTTGTTTTGAGGGGATTGGGAAATATTTTGGTATGTGCTTTGCAAGACTTGATAGCTTACCTAGTTTGTTCTTTTTTTTAACTGTCTTCATCCTTTGAGGTCAAACCGTATGTTTAATATGCTTTGAAAATTTGCTCTAAGTTTTTACCTTGCTGAGCTTTCCATGATACACAGCTATACTCACAGGCAGCTATTTGCACACAGCTGACTAGACAGTGGCTGGTGAGATCCTTTGCTCATTGATGCTGGGACCAGGCCCAGAAGTATTGGGAACCTGGTACAACTCTCTCCTAAGCCCAGGCTAGAAGGAATTGCTCTGTCTTGAAGACCATATTTATTTACTTCTTCCTTAAGTAACTTGATTTGAAATCTAGTTGCTTCCAGCTCCAGATATAATGGCATAGTCTAAACTACTAGAACAACTGATGGCATTTGGTCCTTGGCAAATATTTCTCTTGTAACTCTGGGTGTTACATCAAGGCTTTTTAGCCCATGAACAGTTCCAGCACCATTTAATTTCCCATGTCACATTGCCAGGAGCCATTTAGATTGAAGAGAAAGGAAAATCATATAAATGTTCTTCCTCATTGTAACTGTGATCCATTTCACTTCCACAACAAAATTCTGGATCGGTAGCCACCAGCAGATTCAAAACATACACAAGTAACATATTTTTATTATACTAGTAACAAAAGATGCTGAAGGTTAATAATTACTTGTGTAAATCTTAGCCTGATACTTTAGAGTTGAAAACATGCGTTTAGCTTATTTCATTTTAGTTACACCGAGACATGCCCACTTAACCACGAGAACGTAAGGACTAAGGCTTCCTAACTGGTTACGGTCACGTAATAAGAAAGCAGAAAAGAAGACCTATATCAACTTTATAATACCAAATTCCAGTGGATTTCTTTTTCATTTTTCTACACCTTGGCTCTGAAGTATAGGCACTGAGTTGATAAAATTGTGGTTTAAAGTAAGAATCAGACAAACTTACTTTAAGCATTGGATTTTGTTTTGATAACTGCATAGGAAGAAGTTAATCATGTAGAGAAGTGGAGGTGAACACTAGCCAAATTGCAACATTTTTGTGCATTTGTGGCCTTAGTCCTAACCATAACAAAATCTTCTTTTTAGTCAAGCCTTCTTTTCACCTATTCATTTACGCAAATAATGTTAAGTACTCAACCAGATTTTTTCACATGCCTAGCAGAGAATGTGCTATTCTTCCAGTAGCAGAGAGGATAAGCTAAGCTAAAACCCCCAGACCTCTGCTATGGTTTGTGGCAGGTTTGAATGCCAGACCCCACTGCCTCTATATAATACAGTATATGAGTGAGGACCTTGTGTAATTATAGTGGCTATTATTCATTGAATGTCTGTTGTATGCCAAATGTTATGTTGGATATATACAGATATATCTACTTATCTGTTCATATAAATTATATATTATTATAAAGATTTTTAAAATTATATTAAAACTTAGTTTAAAAATATCAGACAGAATTTCTTCTCAAAATACGTTTCTCAAAATACCTTTCCTAAAA